CTGGGACAGGGCTCGGCAGCTCTTAAGTCTCCAAGTAGCTGGGGACCCGAGGGCTCTCGCCCGTCTTCTCTGACTGCGCACTCGGTGCGTCCGCGCCCGAACTCACCGGCTCTCGCTCTCTCTCAGTCGTGCAGTCCGGCGGCCAGCCTTTCGACTACTCGCCCCTGCGGTTCCGCGCCCGGAACGGGGAGTACGTCACGCTGGACACCAGCTGGTCCAGCTTCGTCAACCCCTGGAGCAGGAAGATCTCCTTCATCATCGGGCGACACAGAGTCAGGGTGTGAGTATTCCCAGGGCCCCGGCGGCTCAGGGCCTCGCCTCCCCCAGCAGACGGCGTGCCTGCCACCACCTAGCTGTGGTGCCCTGGCCCCTGCCCCAGGTTCAAGCAGAGCGGTGAGTGGAGGAGGGGGTGGTGAGCAGGCCGGTGGCACCCTAGGAGGCTGCAGGGAAGAAGCGGGGCCCACAGGGGCATGCAACAGGGCGCCCCGACTAACACTCGTGCGAACCTGCAGGGGCCCTTTGAATGAGGACGTGTTCTCCACTCAGCCGTGCCTGGAGGAGAAGGCCCTGCACCCCGGCGTCCAAGAGCTCACGGAGCAGATCCACCGGCTGCTGCTGCAGGTGGGTGCTCCGCCTCACGCCATCAGCCCGCCCTGGAAGCGGCCTGTGCTGCTCCGAGGCCTGGGGCCACAGTTCCTCTGCCTGCCCGCCCTGCCTCGCCCTGCACTGGGGCCTGGTCTCCCTGGTTTGGGTGAAGTCTGTGCTGGGCCCAGACCGTGGGCACACCTGCAGCTTGCCCAGTTTGGGGCAGCCCCAGTCTTGCGCTTTTGGGGTGTCTGTCTCTGAGCTGCAGCCCTGGGCTAGTGGCTGAAGGATGAGTCCAGGCCCCTGCGCCCCAACTCAGCCAACCCCACGTGTGGCCTCTCACACGTGGACAAGGGGCACTTCGGTCCAGGGTGCTGTGCATGCACCAAGGGGCATTTGAGGGCGCCAGCCCCCGTCCTCGGGGTCACAGGGCTCAAGGAAAATGAGTGAGAACCCGCGAACCCCAGGCTGAGCTGCTTTCCGCTTCTCAGCCGCCGGACTGCGGTGAACCTGACGTGTCGTGCTGAGTTCCTAGCGCCCCTCAGCAGACCCGAGGTGGCCGCGCAGTGTGAGGGGGTGGGGGTCTCCCCAGGGCTGGGGTCTGGGTGGCGGCTGCGAGCCTGCTGCAGCCTGACCAAGTTCCTACAGGGCACCACCTCCTCCTTGTCCTCGCCCAGTGCCCCTGGGCTGCCACCGCCTGTGTGCCACGCCCCAAGCCCTGTACCTAGTCCTCCTGTCTGTTCTCCCCCAGCCCGTCCCCCACAGTGGCTCCAGCGGCTACGGGAGCCTGGGGAGCAACGGGTCCCACGAACACCTCATGAGCCAGACCTCCTCCAGTGACAGCAACGGCCACGAGGACGCCCGCCGCAGGAGAGCCGTAGGTGCCCCAGCCCCCGAGCCCCTGTCCGTGGTGCGCGCGGGAGTCACAAAGCCTGCTCAGAGCCACCGTGCTGGCGTCCAGAGCCTTGCCAGTCTCAGCCGCCTCTGGCTGCTCTCCGAACCGTTCACGGGACTGACTGCACCTAAGAATTGAGGCAGCTGAAAACTGCGGTTAAAGTTTCGGATGAAACTTATTTAAAGCAGGCAAATCGAGCAAAAGGGAAGGCTGAGCTGTAGGGGAACGCGAGGCAACATGCCTCCCCTTTTCCGATCTCCATCGGCAAGGCCGAGCTCCCCAGCTCTGCCTCTCGGGGTCTCCCTCAGAACTTCCTTCTCCCCCGGGGTTACTCCGGCCCTTCTCATCCTCACCCTGGGGGCTGACGTCTCCAGGGGTGAACAATGTGTTCGTTTGCTTTTTTTCAAGGAAATTCCTAAAAATGCTAACAAGGTCAAAAACAAAAATCATTATTCGGATGAATCTGGAGAACAGAAGAAAAAATCTTCTACAGGTAAAAAGTAACTCACCATTTCCTTAGAGAAACCAGCCTGGGAAGGTGGGACGGGCTTCCGTTGGCGCTGCAGGGCGCAGGGAATTTGCCTTTTAGTGCGTCCAGACCCCGCCCCGTCCAGGGCTAGCCGCTCCCACGGGCTCCAGTGACTCGGCTGGCGGGCGCCTCGCCACTTCCCCACGCGCCCTGAGCTCTGTTCACTCACTTGACACGCAGACCCTGGCGCCCTCCGGGCCTGTTCACCCCCTACAGAGTGGCCACAGGGCCACGCGCTCACACGCATGAGCACGCGTGAGCACGCACGCATGCACGCACGCACACTCGCCGCAGGCACTCCAGCCCCGCCCTGTCTGGAGTGGAAACAGCTCACGTGGGGTCCCACCGGCATGGGGGTGTTCTGTCTGCCCCACCCCATAGCTGACTCCTGCACCCTCATGCTCGCACGTGCACACACCCCCGTCTCTCCCCCGCTGGGCACGCGCCCGTCCTTAGTGCTCAGGCCTCGCCTCCTGCAGGAAGCATCCCGTGGGGAACGCTGGGCCTGAGCTCGCCTCCGGCCGCCACAGCTCCACTTGGCTGGGACCCTTGGCCTTCGAGACGCACAGACGTGCGCTTTGCCTTTGCGGGTGTGCCACGAGCTACGCCCATGGGGCTGCTGGGGACACACTGTGAGCAGGACCCGGCTCTGCCCTCGAGGACCTCCCGGGGGACAGCGTGTGCCACAGTTGGTGAGGGCAGGAGCAGACGTGTTCCCGGCAGGCCACGCAGCAGTGGTCGTTAGTACCGCCAGGGGGGTCGTGTTTGGAAAGAGCGGCCCTCCAAGGCAGGAGTGCTGATTGACCGCAAAGCACCCCAAGGTCCCAGGAGTTCAATGAGGACTGACCTCTCTCACTGCTGAGCCTTGGACCCTGGGGACAGCCCCAGGCCCCGTCAACGGCATCCTCCAGGCTCCCTCTGCCGAGGGCGGATGGCACAGCAGCTCACGCCAGAATATCAGTGTCCGAGAAGCGTGTCCCGATCACTAGCCTTAGCTTTAGGCAGACGTGCAAATATAAAGGGCGCTCTTTGGAGAAAACAAGCATTAACTGAAAGAACAATTTTGTCATTCTCTCAGAAATGCAAAGTGGTTCCCCTGCTCAAGTGACAGCCGTCCAGGCCATGGAGGACAGCTCAGGTGCCAGCCCACCGAAGGCCACCTTTCCCGAGGAGCTGGCTTGCAAGAACCAGCCGGCCGGCTCCTACCAGCAGATCAGCTGCCTAGACGGCGTCATCAGGTGCGGGCACCTCTGGCCTCCCCCTTGGTGGTCACCTGCTCTCCGGGCTCCGTTTCTTGAAGCCTTTGTGACCTTCCTCGCAGGTATCTGGAGAGCTGCAGTGAGGCCACCACCCTGAAGAGGAAGTGTGAGTTCCCCACAAATGTCCCCACACAGAAGGCCAGCGACAAGCGGAAGGCCACAGGCAGCCCCGGGCCACCTCCCACAGGTACCGCGTCTGGCGACTAAATGTGTGACAACGTGCATAGATCCGCATGGTGGGCTCAGGCGTCACCGGACGGCCCAGAGTTCCCCGCTTCCCCCCCCACCCCGAACTCTGAGCATCTCTGGGAACACAGTGTGTGAGTGTAGGCTGCTTTTAAAAGGACCAGAGTAGCTCAAACGTCAGCGACCTTCTCACAAGCTGGAGGTAGAGGCGCTTCCAGACTCTCAGAAGGGCCCCTCGGGGCTGCTGGGGGCCCAGGGCCCGTCAGGTTGTCGTTCCTGGGCAGCCCGTTCCCGCGGGGTCTGGATGTCAGCTCAAGCCACTTGAAATCTCAGGCCACTCAAACCTGAGCGTCACCGGTGGCCGTGGCCAGCATCGGCACACGGTTGGACGGCACGCTGTGCTGGACAGTCTGTGCCCTGCCACAGGAAGGGGAAGCCAGCCGCTGGCCAGCGCTCACCTGGCTGCCTAGGCGGACCCTCCCCGCAGTGCAGAGGCCCATGACCCCAGTCCCCTGCTGGCCGCCCCGCCCACAACCCCGAGTCCCCGCCCAGAGGACCCAGGATGTAAGGGTCGAGTCGCTGCCCTTTCGGAATTTCCTATGCTCCACTTGTCCCCTCTGACTAAAACCTGAGGACAGCTTGTCGTCTGCCAGAATGTGTGCAGTCACCTGGGTGTTGGACGCATCTAGACGGTGGCGTTTCTCATCCGAACAGTTCGTTTTTAATGCGTTCCATTTTCTCTTCTAAAGAGGCAGCTGCACCCTCTGGAATAAACAGGCACGCGGACGTCAGTGCACGCTTGCCGTCACTGACGCTGCCGGGCAAGGCGGAGAGCGTGGTGTCCCTCACCAGCCAGTGCAGCTACAGCAGCACCATCGTGCACGTGGGTGACAAGAAGCCGCAGCCCGAGCTAGGTATGCTGCGGCCCTGCGTAACGTTGAGAGCAACCTGATTTTAACAATCAAAATTAGAAGTTTCGACTGTCATCTCAAAATGTCCTTTAAGTTTATGCAAATGCAGAAGAACCCTACCACTGCCCAATAAGGGGGTGGTCCAGGAATCTGGGTGCGTGAAGTGTGAGGGGGCGGGGCACGGCCACGCCTGTGCAGCATGGGTCACTGCGCCCTGCTGCCCCCTGCTGGCAGTCGTCTGCGTAGGCGTCAATAAGGACGGGCCTGGTGGTGCTGAGCCCTGGTCTCCAGGACTGACCAGAGGTCCTTACAGTCTGCTCACGCCTGCCCTGCCGGCCTCGCTCGCCCCTCTGTGAGGCCCCCGGCTTCCAGTTCGAGGGCAGGAGGGAGCCAGGACAGGCCTGCGCAGCCGTCCAGCCAAGGCCGGCGTCGCTGCGTCCTTCTCCAGATGCCCCTCCAGGATGGCACTGCGCCCACCTGGCCTGCCCCATCCGCACCCGCAGCTCCACATGGCCCCGGCTGCGTTGCTGTGCGTGGTCCTAAGCCAGGAGGTGGGCGTCTGCACGCCCGCTTTCGCCTGCTGGGCACTAAAAGCTAAACACCGCCTGGCAGCAGCCTGCCCATCAGAGGCTAGGACCCCGCGGCTCCCCAACTTCAGTCTGAGGAGCCCCTGGTAGCGGGCTGTCTGTGGGTGCCGAGGGCCTTGGCCTGTGAGCGTCCTCAGAAGGCCACACGGGTGTGCCGCAGGCTCGATCCTGCACTGGGGCGTGGGCACACAGTGTGAGCGGTCGCCTGCCTCGCAGACGCCCGTCAGTGGCTTTCAGCACGGGGGCCCTTGCCCAGGACAGGCTGCGTCTTCTGTTCCAGAGACCGTGGGAGACCCTGCCAGTGGGCCCGAGTCCCTGGACTGCGGCCTCGGCCAGGACCAGGAGCCCTTCCGGAGGCTGGGCCTCACCAAGGAGGTGCTGGCCGCCCACACCCAGGGAGGAGCAGTTTTTTTTTAGTTCAAGGAAACCAGGAAGCTCAGCGTTCTCCAGAGTCGCTGCCACTACTACCTCCAAGAGCGGTCCAAGGGGCAGGCGGCCGAGAGAAGTAAGTGGTGGCGCCTGGACCGAACGTGGGTTTCTAAAACGCCCTTGATGGTGCCGCATCCAGGGCTGCTTGTGCAGGGTGACACGTCCCCAGTTCGGGACGCGTGCATTGTGACTTTACCGGTGATGCAGTCTGCTTCGGTGGAACCCCGTCAAGGATGTCATCTTGTGTTCCCAAGAGAGCAGTGCCGTAACAGCAGTGACAGTCCCAGGCTAGCCCTGCCCCTCCTGCCCCCCCCGAACACAGGGCGGGTAGCTGCAGGGCCGCCTGGGTGACTGTGAAGGCCGGGGCACTTCACCCCACCTGTCCACCCAGATGGGACCCTTAGAGGACCAGGCAGGCCACAAGCTAACTCACCCAAAGAGAAAGCACCGTGCTGGCGGGCGTGTGGCGTCGGGCTCCTGGGGAGGAGAGCACCGGGCTGTACGGCGGGAGGGGTGGCACCCGTCTCCCCTCCTGGCCGGGCTGGCTCAGGGCTGGGCCACAGCCTCCGGAGCCAGATGGAGCCTGTGGGTTCACAAAGCTGCACATTAGGCCGAGAGGCACCACGGTCTGAGGGCAGGGATGCGGGAGCGTGGACTAGCTTCTTCACCCCTTTTCTGGTCCAGGAGCCTGGCTCCCGACTCCCCTCCACCTTCCCGGGCCCCAGGGATGGGCCTGGGCTGCCTGGAGATGCCACGTCTTCCTGGGCTCCCGGGGCCTGACCCGGGGTCAGAGCTGGCGGGCCCAGGAGACACAGCGCACAGGTGCCTGCTCCTGCCCTGCAGACGCCCCCGGCGGGCCGGCTGGCTGCGGTCCCAGCTCTTCTTTGCCCCTTTGCCCCCGCAGTTTGCTCAGGGCACGGTCTGCACGGCTGCCGGCGGCGGCCCTGCCCAGACCGCAAGGCGGCACACCACAGGAGCCCGGGGCTTTGGGCACTACCCCCCCGGGGACCAAGCCCCCGTGGGGAGAATGCCCACTGGAGGGACAGATCACACGGCCCCCACACAGCGAGCGGCTCGCCTCGCACGGCACCACGTGCCTTCACGCGCAGCAGAGCCGCGGAGGCCCCCGGCCTCCGTGAGAGGAAAAGCCGAGGTTCCTGGTGGAGTCCCTGCCCACCCCACCCCACCCCACCGCGCCTGTAGCACTGGCCCGCACCCGGGGCGGCGGGGGACGTGCCGCCGAGTCCCTCCAGCCTCCTGAAGGCCTCATCTCAGCACTGTCCCTGGAGGGGAGGAGTCCGGCTAGGACTGCAAGTGCCCCCCGCCCCCCACTCTCGCTTGGGCGGGATCTCGGGCTCTACTGGGTGGGGGCACAAGAAACACCTCTTTTTCAGAAGCAGTAGTGGTAAAGCTCATAAGATTGAAAAACAAACTTAGATGCCGTGAGACTTCACAAACCGATACTGGGGAACAGCGTGGAGTTGCCACTTTAAAATTTTTTTTTTTTTGATAAATATAACCTTCTTAATACCACTCACCACCACCATTCACTGTTATTTCATGAAAGAGAAGGCCTTTTACCGTCGGAAGAAGCGAGGGGTGTGATCTCGCAGTCGAGGGCCGTCCTGCAAACCGGCTGAGTAGTTTCATGGAAACTAACGTGTTGCCCTGATTCTTCTCACCCCACTGAGGATCAGAAAAACCGTATGGTGGACCCGACCGTGCTGGCATCTGGGAACATGGGCCCGTCACTAGGAGGCGCCTTCAAGATTCTGAGATTCCGCAGTGTCTGAGAATTGACATAACAAGGATGAGGTAAGTTTTTACATTTTAACTCTTTGTTTTTCCATTATTGTAGCTGCTCCTGGACTAAGAAATACCACGGGATTAGATTCATCTTGGAAGAAAACCGGGAAGAACAGGAAATTGAAGTCTAAACGGGCCAAGCCTCGAGACTCCTCTGGGAGCACCGGGTCTGGGGGGCCCGTGCCCCACCGGCCCCCGCTGGTGGGCCTGAACGCCACAGCCTGGTCAGCGTCGGACACCTCCCAGTCCAGTTGCCCCGCAGTGCCCTTCCCCGGCCCCGTGCCAGCGTACCCACTGCCGGGGTTCCCAGCCCCGGGCATCGTGCCAGCTCCAGGGGCCGTGGGGGCGGCACCCATGGCTCCCCACGCCGGCTTCGCAGTGCCCACTGTGCCCATGGACGCCCAGCACGAGTTCACAGTGCAGCCCGCGCCGTTCGCTGCCCCCTTGGCTCCAGTCATGGCGTTGGTGTTACCCAGCTACCCCTTCGCCCCAGTGACCCCCAGCCTGCCCCAAGCCTTCTTCCCCGGCCAGCCGAACTTCGCGTCCCAGACCCCCGCCTCGCAGCCCCAGCTCCCTGGCCGGACTTCACCCCCCAAGCAGCCCTGCGCTTGTCCTCGGGCAGAGCGTGTGCCACCAGTGTCACGTGTGGCCACCCCGGCCACCCCCCTGTCGGCCACCGGGCCCACGGGCCGGGCGTCCCCGCCCCTGTTCCAGTCCCGCGGCAGCTCACCCCTGCAGCTCAACCTGCTTCAGCTGGAAGAGGCCCCCGAGGGCTGCACCCCGGCTGCGGGGGCCGCAGGGGCGACAGGCGCCTCTTGGGACTGGCAGCCGACGGCACCGCCAACCGTAAGCACGTCGCGACGCCCTCCCCGAGGCGGGCAGCGCCGGGCGCCCGTCCTCGCTCAGACGCGGGCGTTCCGCACGCCTGCGGTTTCTCCCGAGCATTATGGTTTGCCCTGAATACCTGGGCCCAAAACGGACACTTCCGGCGATGCCACCCTGAAAGAGTAGATTAGGGGGACGTTTCTGTCTCGGGATCTGAGCGAAGAAAGACACCTCAATTGTCCGATGGTCAGCATAGATGACCTGTCGTGGGCCTCGAAATTATTTCCTCTTAGATGGAAACTTCGAGGATAAAGCCAGTCAGGTCAAATGCCAGAGCTCAGGCTCCCTGGGGGCGATGGTGGCCTAGGTGCCCGCCAGCAAGGAGGGGGCGACGGGGAGAGCTGAGACCAGTGCCAGCCGGTCCCCCGCCCAAGCCCGAGACGTCCCCGTGAAACGCTCCGTGTTCTGCCCGAGCTCAGCTCAGCTGTGCAGAGGCGGGAGCTGAGGCGGGGGCTCCGAGCCTTTGCTCTGGGAGAGGGGGTGGAGCCTCATCAGCCCCCCACGCCTGCCACCCTCCTGACCTGGTTTCGGGGTCCTGGGCCTACAGTCCAGGCTCCGAGGTTCAGAGAGTCAGAGCGCTCCCAGGACAAGCCAGAACCCGCCACCACCAGGGCAGCTTTGGGGTGCTGAGAGGCGTCTTCCAGCTTCCGTGTCCCTGTGGGGAGGAGCAGGCATGGGCTTCCCCGCAGGGCCCCAAGAACTTCCGTCCCGGATGTGACACTCCCAAACTAAGTTTTGTTGGATGGCGTTTGTGGGCCACCATGGAGACACTCGCTGTGGAGCCAGCACCCACGGAGCCGCTCATTCTGCGTGCGCGGGAAGGGCCAGCGAGCTGGGAGGCCATGCTCAACCCTGTCCCCGAGCGGCCTTGTGCAGACAGCCACCCTGCAGCTCTCCCCTGCCCCCCACTTTGGGGAGCTGTGTCCTGTCTCTGTCCTGACTGCCCTGACTGTGTCTTCTCCTGTCCCTGAAGCGTGATGAGCCCTCAGATGCCCAGAACAGTGATGCCCTCTCCACGTCCAGTGACCTGTTTGACCTCCTGCTGCGCGAGGACCTCTGCTCGGCCGCGGGGTCGGCCCTGTCCAGAAGCGGGGCCTCCGCCACCTCTGACTCCCTGGGCTCCAGCTCTCTGGGCTGTGACGTGTCCAGAAGTGGGACAGGTATGCTGGCGATGGGAGCACCTGAGTCCGGGGGGAGCGGGCGCGTTTCAGGCTGTTGGGATTCTGGTGCATTGGGAAGATTCTCACATGAGGCACCTGGGCGTCCTCGACTTCTCCCGTGCTCCGGGGACCCAGCTCCAAGAGTGCCACAGGCCACATGTGCTCAGGGCCCAGCACCAGGTGCAGACCAGGCCCGACAGGTGTCCAGCTGGCACTCGGAGCCCAAGGCAGTGCAGACAGGCGGGCACTTGTCCCGCCCCTGGCTCCGCCCCCGGCGGTGGGCCCACCAGGCAGAATTCTCGCACTCACCTGCCCGCTACCATGTGGCATCACGGCCTGCCCAGGTTCACCTGCTGTGCCGGTCCCCTAGGGAGCCTTGCAGGGGGCCATGTGCTTGATCCGCCGATGGCGCAGGTGTGACTGGTACCCGCTGTCACAGACCCTACCTCTGCAGGGAGCTGCCGTGTCCCTGTATCCGCTGGCCTCTCCCCAGGGGGCTACCCTGACCGGAACGCATTCGGGGCCCGCCACCCCGCTTTCAAAACCAGACCGGCTTCTCTGTGGCCTGGCTCAGTGAGGAGGTGGGAGCACGGGGAAGGGGTGCACCATGGCTGAGACGGGGCCCCCCAGGACGGACACCGCCATGGTGCTAGCTGACATCCCTGTGTTAGTTATCCAGGTAATTCAGGAACTGGGAAGAGATAGGGAACCCCACCAACATGGGCGCGTGTTACTCAAACGACTCTCGGCTCCCTAAACTTACACGAGCACGTCACACCAGGGCGAACTCAGCGTTAAAGGTTTTGACACGTCACCTCTGTCTCTTAAAGGCAGTAGCGACACAGGTCACACCAGCAAGTATTTCGGAAGCATTGACTCCTCAGAGAACAATCACAAAGCAAAAGTGAAGACAGACATGGACGAAAGTGAGCACTTCATCAAGTACGTCCTGCAAGACCCCATCTGGCTGCTGATGGCCGACACGGACGACAGCGTCATGATGACCTACCAGATGCCTTCCCGGTAACCAGTCGCTTTGTCCTAGGGACGCGTGAAGGGCTGGGTGACGGACTTCCCAAATAAGGCCACCACCCCAGGGGACGTCCCTCTGAAAGCCTTCTCTCAGACGGAGTGGCGTGCAGCACCCAGAGAAACAGGGTCCTTCTAGATGGTTCCGCGGGTCCCACAGAGCCCTGTGTGTGGCGGTGGGCCCGGAGCCCCGCAGGGTAGCCTGCTCCAGGCTCTGGGAGCAATGGGCCCCAGCACCCTCCAGGGCGTCATACTCGATGCGTACAGAGCCTTTCTGCCAACATGGGCTCTTTCGCTCTGGTGCCCAGTAAACCTGTGGGGCAGATGGGGTGCATGGTCTTAGAGATACAGAAACCAAGCATCAAGGTAGATGACCAGCCCGAGGCCACCAGCTGCTCTGTAGTGACCGCGGGTCTGCGCCCCAGCTGTGCCCCGTCCATGTCAGGCTGCTCTGAAGAACCATCATGATCCCTGCAGACCCCTCTCAGTGGACAAGCTGGGGG